CACAATGCCAGAACATTAAGTTGATTTAATGAATTAACCAGTTTAAATATACACAATAACTTCATGATTGATATTGAATGCTTTCTAAAATGACTGGAGTTTTGGCTTTGATTAGATATAGTTATCCTCTGAGTTTTAGAATGCCTAATGAAATCGAGGAGGAATGTAGTAAAAGCCTGGCCTGAGAATGTATTTCGAAGCTTAAACTAAGAGTTCCTGGAATAGTCCTTACTTTTTGACCTGAATTTAACCGTTTAAGAGAGGGAAAAGCCCATGATATCAGAAAAGAAAAATGGTCCTACAAACCACACAAGCTTGAGGCTAAAGTTCAAGTCACTCGGTATAGGAGTAGTCTTCAAAAAGTTCATGAAAAAATTCGTATTATCTTTTAATTCTATTTTCCATGAACTTTTTGAAGTACTCCCCATTACCTTGTACACTTAGCACAGCAATTGTAACATTTTTCTAGCACTGAAGAAATGGGTTTCATTGTCTATAGCTAAGGAATGCTCTCTCCTGATTCTACCAGAGCCTTTAATTTTGAATAACAGACTACTGTTAACAGGTACTTTTAATATAAGCTAATGTATATGTGCAGACACAGCCACAGGTCCTTTATTGAACACCACATATGCACAAAATAAGTTTCAATTAGTGCAGGCTACAGAATCAACCGTCCCCAAATCCCAACCAAAACAAATTTTTAAAAAGCTTGAGGCTATATATATAAAGAACTGAATGCAAATTAAAAACAAATGCACAATTACCTTTTCAAAATGATTTGATTTTAATTAACATATTTATACTATATATGGATGCTCAATTTATAACACTTGAAAGAAGCAAGCAAAGGTTTGATAAAATATTTATTGTGCATCAAGATTTGGCATTACACAATTACAATTTATTTTGTATTTTAATATTTGCCTAATAGAAAACAATACTGCTTTATTTATGAATTCAAAAGTTATTTCTAGGCTTTTTTTCTTCTTAAATAGAGAAGTGATTATTTCCCTGCATTCTGATTTTCAAGTGCTATATTCCAACTATTCACTTATCCAAAATGATTACACTGTTAACAGCAGCATTGGGGCTTAAATTCAGTGTTAAAATAGCTGTAGTATGCAATTAATCAATATGCAATTACAGGGAATCTAATGGTTCCAGATATATGCAATCCAGAAACATGTAAACTAGAGATTAAGACTTCCTCAGTTTTGTGCATATAAGCAAATTCTGCAGTTAAGCAGGGCTCACCAAAAAAAGAATTGCATCCATTTTTACCAGTTGGACTGTGTGATTTTTCATTTCACCAGTTCAGAGATGCCTTAATGCTCTGAAGCTTTACAACATTGTAAAAGTGGTGTAAAGTTTCAAGAACCCATAGCAAAGACAACAAAATAGATGTCCTTAATGTGTTTCCTAAATTAGGACTTCATTCCCATCCCTCACTCGGTTTCTTTCACAATATTCTCCTATCAGAAAGTCTTGTGAGAATGAGAATTCTTCCCTCACAGTCTCATTCATAAGACTAAATCTGGCACTTTGGACACAAAGATTGTGTTTCAGTGTTCAACAACATAACATTGAAAGGAAGAATCTTCACTTCCTACTGAGATACCAGCAAACCAGGCTCAAAAATAATGGAAGGTTCAGAAATGACCATGGAAGAGACACCTAATGGAACAGATGTACAGATGCTATACTAGAATAAAAGAAAAATGCTAAAGTGCATAATGATTTTGAAAAGATTTCTTTATCAAACATGTCATTTGTTTGAAGGACCCGAGTTGCTGTCATCAGATGTGGGATATCAGCTTGTTAGCAAAGTGAAACATGATGGCAGCTAGATACCCGCAATTGATGAGTCAATTGAAATCACTGATGTTGCTCGACTGAGCATCTTCATTTAATGTCATTGGTCAGAATTTAATGAAACACCTTCTGCTTTTGGTTATCACCACAGCAAATAAGATGTCCATTTAGCTCAGCTGGTTACAGCACACTGGTATAATACCAAGGTCAAGGGTTCGGATCCACATACCGGCCAGCCGCCAGAATAATAAAACAAAAACAACAAAAAAGGGATCTCAATATTTAGCCACACCTCGATGTGGCTAAATATTTTTTGTAAAAGATAGTGATTGAGGTCTCCAAAGAAATGATATCAGCTGGCCAACCATTACATACTCTGTTGGTGAGATATGAATGCTAGCTTTTCCGTGTAAGTTCTGACTAGGTAACATTAGTGAATCATTTGTAAATGATTTCTATGCAGTGGATTTATATTAGGATGTTAAAATGCATTTATTTATTCCTATCACAAATAGCCTTCAATTGTTGACTCTGTGACATTTACAGAGGGAACTGTTGGCAATAACATTTTCCTCATTTCCCCAATGAAGTTTCCAATGACCTGATTTTTTAAAAAAATCTTTTTAAAAAGACTTTTTTCCTAAGGAAAGTACTACAAAAGGCAACACTTCTCTGAGACTCTAAGAGGGTGTTCTCTTGTCCCCTGTTCTACAGGAAAAGACTGTGCTGATTGACTTGACCCTTAGGATCCTGGAGAGACCTCACCTGTAAGATCTTCTTGCTATGAGTAGTATACAGCACTGCACCAAATAGACATCCATTGTGAAATTAGACATTTAATAGAACTTTGCTCTTACTTGGTAACAAATAACCAAGACTCAAAATAAGTTTTACACGACCTCCATGTCTAATAGGACAGGGTAAATATGAGAGGGTCAGAAAGAAAGAGACAACGGGTAACAAACCAGTGAAGAAAGACTAATGAAAAGTCTTGCAGGTCACCATACAAAAGCCGCTATCATTCAGCAATACAGCCTCTCTGGGAAGCCCCAAGTCCCCAAAATCAATGGAAAGGAAAGAAGCTGTCTGTCTTTCCACTCAGACAGCTCATCTGAGAAGACCTCTGTTGGTGTTTTTGTTTTGCTTTACTGCATAAGTAGACCTATGACTGAAAAAAAATTTCATAATGCTGTAGTAGAGCATTTCTACACTGTCTCTGGGTCAAGACTCAATTTAAGTAACATAAAATAAAATAATCAGGAGACCCTTTAAAACATAAAAGTATGGCTATAAAGTAATAAGACTGTTGTTTGTTTTGTTTTATCTCAAGTGAAGCTGTCATCTAGGGAGTCCATAAACTTATTCTAAGGATTGCTAACATTGGCCAAAACATTTTGGGACTCCTCTTTGGGAATTGCTTTCAGGGATAGCATCCCAGCCCAACAAGAACATCAGTGTCATTACTCTACAGTAATACCCGCATAATACTAACATAAATTTAGAAGGGGGAAACTGAATAATTTAAGACATAAGATCGAATCTTTTTGTTACATGTGAGTATCAACTTTCCCACTGTAAAACTGTCATCGAATTTTAATGTAAGAATCAAGCAGTTCACTAAATTAAAAATTTTATCCAATTAAATGTAAACCATTAAATTACCATGTTTACAGATTTTAAGTACATAACTTATTTTTATCTAAAAATAAGTGTATTCATTGGAAGATAATGAACAACAGGCATTTAATAACTTTGTAATTTTATGTGTTTAAATATTCATAGCTATGTTCATAAACCCACATGGCTGATCTACTGATTATGCTTATGAAATGCAGCCTTTCTTATATGCCCCAAATTTCCATCTATTTTCTGAACTGTATTAAATTTCATCCCAATACAAACCACTATGTTTTTAGTAAAATATTACATAATACTTGTATTAAAAATAGGAAACTACTCAAAATCATCAAAACAATAACTACCTCCAAGAGGGAAAGAAGGAATTAACATTTGTTCAGGGACTACTCTCTGGCAGGCTCTTTAGGGACCTTTTTTTGTTTAGTCCTTAGAAAAACCCTAGGAGGTATTATCATCACAGTGCAGCTGGCTCATGCACAACTTTGTAGTTTACCTTTCCAAAGGCTTTTTCAACAATCCCATTATAATACGCCACTGCATGTCTGAAAAAACATAGTTCTTGATCTTAAAAACAAAAATAAAACACAAAAATTCCAGCAACTTTGATATGGGGGATATAAGAATGTCAAGTGTTAGGGAGCCAAGAATCAAAGAATCATAGACTTTCTTGACTGGCCTATTATCCTATTCTTGATGTAAAGGAACAACAGGAATCAGAGAGAAATGAGCGTTTTTCCCACTACTTAAAAATTACAATATCATCAATCTCTTACCAGAAATTTTAATAAAACTGGATCTAAAGAACCAATAGCAATACACTCTATCAAGCTGCAATTTTACAATACTTCATCATGGCATAATCACGCCAAATAAATAGAATGATGGCCATGAAATTCACAGATTACATTAAATTACGGATTTTAACTTAAAATGAAGAATCAAGTATCTGGAGTTCGAAGAATTTCTCTGAAGTGCCTTCATCTTCTCTAACACTACAGTTAATTAAAGACAACTTGTGTTTTAATAACACCTATATTCCATGATTCTATAAGTGTTCTAATCAATGGTTGCCAAGTCGTCTGCCCCAAAGACCACTTCAGGGCTTCTGAATAATATACGCATATTATAATATAATGTAATGTCGCAATGTTCCCTCTCTGGATGCCATAGAGACCCTTTTTTCACCTTTGAGGTTATCTTCAGCTTTATCTTTCCCTCTCTTTCTCATCCAAATAGTGGTGTTCAAATGCTCCTCTTTTTCCTCCAAACTCCTGCCTCCATTCCTTCCTTCTAATCACCCCAGTCGTTGACTCTGAATTCTTCCTTCGACCTCCCTAGCACCTAACCCTGAGCCCCTCCAGGAAAACACTATGAGCTCAAAACAGTTGGGGTTTGTTCAGTGTCCCCTATCCCCTAAATTTATTGCTTAGTGAAATCCCAACTATACTATGGAAAATGTGAATAGAATATAAATTTTCCCAAATCAACAGGTTAATCAAGGTTCTTTAGGGGCTATAGTTGTCATTGTAATAAAACAATCACAAAAATAATTTAAATAGTTTTATTTAAGTCAAATAACAATTCTGGGGATCCTGGGTATTGCTTTTTGAAGACAAACATGTGAATTAACAAAACAAGCATTCATGTTTCTAGTTTTAAACACTTTAGTTCTACATGTGGAATGCAGACATTTGAAAAAGATTTTCAACAAAGTCCCACAATGCATGAGATAATGCATACTGAATTACGAATTAGGCCAAATTGGGGGGAGGGGACTTTGTTGCTTTCTCATTTAACAAATGATTGCTCAGCACAGAATGAAATACACCAAAAGAAGAAAATAGTCTTTTTATACCTAGAGAATAAGCTACTACTCTTAAAATGATCACTTCAAGGTAACAGACATCCAAATTGATGTGGTTTTCTTTGAAACCTCATCAGTAAATCATTTCTTGCACAGTAGGTTCGGCATTAACCCTGCATTTAGGATAGGTAGTGTTATGGAGGGCAGGCTGCTGCATACCAACGTCAGTATCAAGTTCTTCATCAGGAATTAGAGACTGTCCCGGATACCAAGCAGGACAACACTGGCAAAAAAACAAAAAGTGAACTGCAGACAGGTCAAAACAGGCCACATTTTCTCTTAGAAAGATGTTATAAAATGTTACATGGATGTGTTGTTTTAAATGCTAGTTTGTGATAAAACATGATGAAATCTTTTATTTTTAATACCTTAAGTTCAAATAGTCTTTACTTAGGTTGTATGTTAATAAAGTACATTAGACAACATATATACCGTATTAGAGATCAAATATTATAAACTTGCCATCTTTTGAAAGCTATTTTTATAATTACTGTAAAGACTACATTTCTCTCCATTCATTAGATTAGTAAACAGGTTGAACAGTCATCAGATTAAAAATATACAAAATTGTTTGGTTTGTTAGATACTTTTAAAGAAAAAGATATTTTCTTTAGCTTTGACAGATTTTTTGAAACAGGAGTTTCTCTAATATTCAAAGTGTTTATGCTCCCTTGTTAAAAGTTACCATTAGTCCAAGTGTTCTGAACACTCCCTCCTTTAAATGCTTCCTGAAAACAGTGTTTTGCAAGCTACAAATTTCAAGTTATGACAGAAAACAAACCTCAGCGGGAGAAGCAGTGCCCTTTGGAATCGTCATTCAAACAAATATGAGAGCTGTACCAATTTATCACTTGCCCGGTTTTAAAGAAATTCATCACTTAATCCTATGAAAACCATCCAGTTTTGCCATACCAAATGACCCAAAGAACACCTCAGGTATCCAGGGGAAACAGTTCACCAATGCATGTTAGCTTGATTTTAAAGTCAGTTTAAGAGACAATCTGGGCTCTAGTTCTTAAAGGGACAAACCCTTGTCTAACAATTGGCTAAAGCTTGTTCAAGTTAATGAACTTTTTATTTTCCACATTCTTGGTGCCAAGACATTTAACCAGGAAAAAACTCAAACCTCAGGGTTCAAACTACAGCCTGGAAAAATAAAGTATACAGCAAGCACCTTTTACTTCCTTTGATCTCTCAAAGACGTCAATACAATATTCCAGGGAGGGGGTGTGGGGTAGTGGCTAAACCCGGGAAGGAAACTTCACCCACAGGAGAGAGAAAAAAAATCGATTTGGTGACAATTTCAAAACAAGTTTCCAAACTGCTGAAGAAGCTCCAGCCCCTGCTCCTTTGACTTGCAGGAATCACACATAAGAAAGGGACAAAATACTACACGCCATGCTTATTTTAATTGCCCAGGGGTTTCCAATGCAAAGCACAACTTAAATGCATATTCCAAATTCTTGCTCCAAAGCTGTCTTTGTGCACTGAAAAGGAGGAAAGACAACCCCTCACAATTGTTCTCTGCAGATAAAGGCACTGTTTTGCAGATTTCCCCCCAGACTGGGTCAGCCTCGCTAATGACCTGCCCACCCACCTGGGGCCCTTCCCAAGGTGGCCCACGAGAACTGTCCCACACCTTCAAAAACCTAAATATTTGACACTGGGCAACCCCAAGAGGGCTGCTCTTTCGTTTGGCTGTTGGTCTCCACGAAGACGCAACCTGGAAGAGTTTGTGCCGCTTATTTTCCTAGAGGAGCTGGGGGTCAATAACTACATTTATTTATCTCATTTTTTCTCTCTCTCACGAAAGACACATCTGAAGGTAAATCCGCAGCATTTTTTCGTGGAGAAAACACGAACTGGAGATCCCAGAGTTACCAGGGGTTCTTCTTTCACCCGCCAGCATTACGGCATTTAAGCAAAATTTGAATTAGAGTTTTTGGAATTGTGGCCTCCCCCACCCCGTCCTGCTTAACGTAAGACCACCAGCTGTGAATGACACACACAAAAGCTAGGACAGTGCCAATTTTCATAGGCTCACGTTTAAATGAGATATGCAGAAAACGGGGCCTGGGCAACGTGCAGGGTTCAAACTCGCAATGGTACATGTCTGTTGACAAAGCCGGGCATTTTATTTGGAAATGGTGCCTGCATGCTCCCCTCCTCACCGGCTCCGCCTTTGTCCCGGGAGGGCAACATAGTGTCCACTCGGGCATCTTAGAGACTCGGAGGTCCTGTGGCTTTCCGACCAGTACACGATACCTCGAAACGGCATCCCCCACCCAAGAGAACCAGGAGGAAATGTTTTAAGTCGGCTCAAAAGGGTGAAGCGGCCTCTGGCCGGTTTATGTCCACGTCCCCTGGGAACGTCACCCCCCAGAAGGGCACGCCAACGGCCCACGAGAATGCCCAGGAAGAACTTCTCCGCTTCCGTTTTTTAACAATTTTGCGTTGCACCGCCACGCCCTACATTTTCCCGCGAGGCGCCCAGCGCTGAGGAATAACAAGGAAGTTGGAGCCACAGAGCCGCTCGGCAGCCCGTGGTCTGCGCTGTGCCGCGCTCCGCGGGGGTTCGCATCCGGCCGCCATGTTCGCGACTCGAGAGCCGCCCCAAAACCAATCCCCCTTCCCACATCCCTCTTCTCTCCGTCCCCTCCCTCCCGGCTCAGCCGAGGCCGCGGCGCTGTAAAGCGGCATTCAACTCTCCCCCTCACCGCCTCGCAGCAAAAGCCGACTCGACGGCTGCGGGGTGTGCGCCTGCGCGCGGAACGGCGCGG